AACCAGACAACAGCAACGGCAACGCGTAGCAAATCCTATCGAACAGCTATGGCTGGCATTTTTACAAACAAAGTATATAGCAAAAATGGCAGCCATTTTTCAAAATGGCCACCTTATACCAAAAGTGTCGTTAGACGATGTGCCATGCTTATAGTATTCACATACCAAATATGAACAAAATCGCTCCACTACTTTTTCAAAATGGCCACCTTCTACCAAAAGTGGCATTAAACAGTGTGCCATGCTTATAGTATTCACATACCAAATATTAACAAAATCGCTCCACTAGTTTTCGATTTACAGCAAAAATCGTAAAATAACGAGTAAAGGCCGCCATTTTTCAAGATGGCAGCCATGTGCTTTTATAATATAAACATTTCTAGCTTTAGTAATTTCCTTTATAATATTTGGGCATTTAAAACATATTGCTTTTACAGTATGACATATTGCACCTAAATTACTGTAAAATCGGCACTAAAATTACCGCCATTTTTAAATGAGAAGCCATTTTGAAAATCGGCTTTCGAGCTAATTTTCTACCCCCATAGGCTATAATTGTACAAAATATGAACAAAATCAGGCCAATGGTATTTGAGTTATTGCCTGGACGAACGGACGGACGGAGGCGTTCCCTATATCCCTCCGAACTTTGTTCGATGGGATAAATATAAATCTGAGCCCAGGTGTAAAAGGGTAGGAGGTCCTATCAAATTATGGTTCTACTCTCTAATGATTTATATGGTGACCTCAATACAACTCGTTCCCTTATTATCTTATACGCAATCAGGGTTGTAATTCCGTTTATAAAATGCTTCATAGTCTTACATTAATTTTAATCAGACGATTGCGTAATTCAGTTCTGTAGACTTGAGATGCGTTGAGTCAAACTATCAACAATTAGAATCTATTGCAATTGTCTTCGTCACTAACCTTAACTACCACGTTAACTATAACCACATACGTCCCCTACTGTTTTTAATTCTTTAGCACTTTAAAATAAATTATTTTATTGAGCATGAAAGCGAAACCATGACAGTGATCGTTCATTATCCAATAACTTGCTATAAATGCTAAATCCAAGAGGATATTACGAGTACTGCTTTTATTTCATTTTAATTTCTATTAACATTTTATTGGAACCAGACCAACCATTATTTGTACGATATGCTTACTGTGAATGTCACTTTTTGTGAGTTGAGCCCTATAAATACTTTATTTCATATGAAAAATTCGTATAAAATATGAAAAGTGTTTCACCATCAAATGTGTTAAATGCTGATCCTCATACATTTTGTAGCGTCTCAATCATAAGTCACCCATATCAACTAAAGCACCAGTTCCATCTATCTATCAACACGTTGATCAAAAGTAATTGTTCATGGAAAACCCCTGGAAAAAGGTGCATTTCCAGTTTTAAGAGTTTTGGGGGGTGGGGATTTTATGTTCATTTCATTTTTTCGATACTTATCTCGATTCAACCTAACTGTCCTTAATTAACTAGTATATTGAGATGATTACGAAGCATATGTATATCTTAGTTTGTTCGAATCAGCTTCGGAAAATTGTTTGAAAAGTCCCCAAAAATTGGTAGCAAAAGGAAAATACTGTGTTGGATGGTTCTACTAAAAAAATATATAAAAAATTGGTAAATAATTATCAAATAAAATTGGTACAATTGAAAAGATGACTATTGCATTGTTGCTCTCTAATTTTTTCATATTTTTGGGATTACTGGTTTCAGAGAAAGGAAATGTTGAATTAAGTTCTCCATATCGATACCCTTCCTTTGGTTGGGAAATGTATGAAATTTAATTTCGTATTTAATCATGGTTAAAACATGATATAATTCTGGTCCACATTCACACCTGATCTGTTTTTATATGAATTAAGATACGTTGCTGTTGTTAACGTCGCTTAATATTAGCTTCATTTGTTAATTTGACCCAAAATGTTGTCCTTTATTGCGAAATATGGCTTAGGCCATGGTCTTCTATCTAGGGATAAAGATTCATGCTTTGACCAGTTCAAATACATTTTTTGTAGAGAAAAACAAGCTTGATAAAAAGAAAAACAAGCTTGATAAAAAAGTATCTTGAAAAAGAAAAGAACGTAGACGTCATCAGACGCGGGCGTTATTATGTGCCCATATTTAATTTGGCCTAAGAAAATTATACATTACGTAAACTTTCAGAGTCATTGCAACACATGTCCATGGAATTTATCATACAAGAGTGGAATTCTTTAAGTTTATTAAAGCCTAATCCCGGTGTTCAGTAAATCTTTTCGAAAGGATTGGTATCGATATGGAGAACTGAATTCAATAATGTTTTTCTCTTAAACCAATTATTACTAACACCCCAGTCACATTTCCCACGGGGTGTAAGCAAAACGTTTAGCTAATGACATTCAAGATACGTTATACGATTTTAAAAGTGATTAACTGAAATATACTACAAAACATAGATGTTGGGCTTAAAATGAGCGGATTTATTTATAATTAATAAATCTTATTACAAAACACATCTTCTTACAAAACATGTCATATTCAGTGATTCATATTGCCAATGCAAGTTGTTTACAATGCAATATATAAAACCATCGTGCTCTCACACCGTCTTCTGTTTCGGACATATTTGCAATGTTCTATAGATGATAAATTGATTAAAATCTCACAAAACTTCAAAATTAAAATTCATTTTTTCAAGACTTCCGTCCAGAGTACTATTTTACACTGAACAAATGTTGATACCCGGGGATATTGTCCGTTTGATATCGTCTCCTAAAACTGCCCCTTTCTGTAAAATTGACGAGTTGTTCTACACATATACTGTTCAAAAGATGACTTAATTTCAGTACGAAATAGTAGATTACTCAATTGCGTTGCGTTATAGGCGATGGAAATTAGTGTTGCCTTGATGTATGCCCGGTCGTGCGTATGCGTTTTGCGTTGCGACAACGTGACAGAGAGGGGGTTGGTTATGAAATATTTTTTGCCTCTTCGCTCTTTCCTTCCTGACTACGCCACTGGAGTCAGTCCAGTATCCTCATCTAACCTTACAGAGGGATCTATACTTGATTTTTCTGTTGCTTCCAAATATTCATGCGAGTATCGACGTTGTTCAGATGTAGAATGGTCGCAATAAGGCGGGGACAAGGACCGTTGCTGTGCCTTATGAGTTTGAAACATTTTGTCGGTTAGGTCAGTATTCTCAGTTGACTTTGCAGATAAATGTTTCATAGCTATTTCTGTTGCTTCCATAACTGATTCGTGCGAATATGGTTGTTCATTTTGAGGTGTATGGGAAATTCCAGTTGGGCCATCAGTCAATGGTGTTGGATTAGATTGTTGGTTTGCTCGTTTTTTCTGCTTATGTTCCGTTATCCAAAGTACAAGACATAATATAAATTTAAACAATGCTGAAATTATAATACAAATACCTCCAATTCTGGAGATATATATTATCATGACAACTCCTCCTATAATCATAACAGTTGCTATTCCCGTTATGATTATCATTGTCCCAACTGTACAGATATATTGAACACGTGCCATTTTCGTTTATAGGAATCTACTACTGTCACAGTCTAAATGTAATCCACTTTGAACGACGTCATGGTATTAACAGATTAATTCTTGCCTGGTACAATATGGTAATATCTTCTAGTTGTAATGTCAACATAGTGTAAAATATTTGTACTATTGTTATGTTATATTATGTTTTAGTATACACAGATCTTCATACGCCCTATAGACAAATAAAGAATCTCAACAATATGTCAAGATTCAATAGAAATTACTGGCAATGTACAGGGTGGTCAAAAAAATGGAAACCCTAATACCATTTTCCTCATATCTTTGTCCTTTTAAAAAATAACTCCCTGATATTTAATACTTTTGTACATCATTCAATTAACTACCAGTCTACTTTATTTCATGACCATCAGATTGATAGTCACAATGTTACAGTACTTTAAAGAACATGCCCAGTGGCCAATATTGCGTTTTGGGGAAGCCTGTACTCTTCGTCCAAAATGTCCCTACCTGTGGGGATATGGCAGAGATAGAGTATATGAGAATAACCTCAGGACAATTGCAAACCTCAAAAGTGAGATCGTTTGTGTCATTCAGGCCACACCTGCTGAGGAATCCATGCGGGTCATTAACAACTGTGCTGTTTTGCCTACAGCGCGAAAATGGCCAAATATATCTGAAGCATGTTATTCAAAGTGCTGTAAAATTGTGACTATCAGTCTGATGGTCATGAAATATGGTAGGGTGGTAGGAAATGGAATGATGTACAAATGTGTGAAATATCACAGAGTAATTTTTTAAATTGACAAAGATATAAGGAAAATGCAGGGTTTCCATTTTTTGACCACCCTGTATAAGGCCTAGTGTACATATATTTGAAATTTACTTCCTGGTTAAAAGATTGGCCAATGACTGTGCTCTATTCATATAACACACACCGTTAAAATCGATATCTAAAAAGTATAACCTACTTATTATGTATTTTAAATATTTGTCGATGTGTCATTTTCTGAACCTTTGAATTTGTAAAAACACGATGTTTTATTGTGGAATCACTATCATAAGGGTTTTATGAAGTGATTCAGCTGGATTGGACAAATGCCAACCTTGGGGAAAAAATTATATATGAAAATGAAGGTGTCCATTATCTAAAAGCAATTTTTTGAAAGCCTTTGACAATCTCCTGGGCTAATAATTTTTTTCATGAAAAATATAGAAATATCACCCAAATTAAACTATGAATATTCAAAAGAGGACATTTAAATCTACAAAATGTAGAAATAACAAATTGGTCTGAAGCAGGGATAACGCTCGATTAGACCGATTCAATAAAATACAAGTCTCGATTTGGGGAAAGTTCATCAGTGTAGTGCGCTAATATTTTTTGCGAAAAATCTAGAAATATTACCCAAATTAAATTATGACTATTCAAAAGAAGACATTCAAATCTATATTATGTAAAAAAAATCAAATTTGTCCGAAGCAGGGATAATGCTCATTTAGATTGATGAACTTCGTTCTCCAAACCGAGAATAGTCCTTTCGTCATTTTTCTATTTTCGATCATTTCAAATCTAAAATTTGCCGAGTGGAAGCTGTTGAAGCTGGTCGAATGAAAGTTTACTGGACGCAAGGCATCCAGTATTAACAGGCTTGCGTCCAGTACATTTTTATTTCGTCCTGTGTTTTTGAAATTTCGTCATTTTTCTTTTATCAATCGCTTTTAAGCTAAAATTTGCAGATTGGAAGCTGTATTGTAAGTTCATACACAAGAAAATTGCATATCTTAAGCTATGATCACACCATCGGCGCTTTGATCGAGCTTTAATGCGGCGTGCGAAGCGGCTTCGCACGTCGCATTAAAGCGCCATCAAAGCGCCGTTGATGTGAACGTAACTTTATCAATGAAATGGTACATAAGAAGAAATATTAGACAGGTTCCAATTTGAATAATTCAAGTTTTTGAGGCATTTTTTAGAAAAAGCAACAGACCTATTTTTACTAAATCAGTTTTTCATGCTGATAAAGATATTAAAAGATGACAGCTCAACGAGATGGCCATGACACTGAATTTTGGCATTTTTACCCCCCTATGAAAATATTCTAAGGGGTACTATGAAACTAGTTCATAACTCGAAGGATATATGAGCTATTGTTCTGATTTCTACACCATACATTGCTAGTACAAATATAAATACTATCCTAAAGGTATAGGCTGATACCCTTATTGGTCTAAGAAAAAATACAATAAACAGTAAAAAGATACGCAATTTTGCCTTGCCAATTTTATATCTGTAGCTTCAAGCAAAATATGACAGCTTTAACAGCTCAAAGTAGTATTCTAAAAACATTTCCAGGCTATGTGTGATATTGTAATACATCTATTTTAGTTATGAAGTACTATTTTGTAATTTTAATATGACTTTATAGTGCCCTACCCCTTGAAAATTGAAGAATGTGGATGTGTTGAATTTTATCATTTTGCAGCATTAAGTTAGAAATATGTATTGATAGACACCAAATCAATGTATTCAAACCATCATCAAATGTTAGGTGACATTCTAATTCATTTATTTCTAGAATATAGGACTTAAGATATTTTATATGAAAGTTTTCAATTTAGTAGATGTATCATAATGAAATATAGTGTAATCACATACAGATATGTTGGCATACAGTCTTGTCATTGACATAAAGTCTGAACATTATAATCATCAATTGATCTCATTTGAGCAACTAGACTTTGGTGGTCATCATGCACAAGTAATGTACTATAGTGTCCCACGTACTAGGTCACAAGTCATTTGAGCCATATATACCTCCTGGTATATACCTTTACAACCCATTCAGAAGGGTCATTTACAATGTGCAAAACATGGCAGTAGTTCTGTAAAACTGTTACTTCTCATCATCTGACCATATAGTAGAGTCCTCATTAAGCAATGATGAATCACAGTCACATGTTGGAAAAGTAGCTAAGAATCTTTATTAACCAAAGATGACTTTCCAGTAGTCAACCTAGCTGCAATATGCATAAAATCAGACCAGTTTTGCCTCTTGCTCACAGCTGTAGGAGTGGAGCCATGTACAAGCATTGCAGCCAATACTTGCTTCTTATTATTGGTGGTAAGATTGTCAAACAGTGCCAACATCACTTACTCCAGACACAGATACCACAGATGGTGCCTCACACTTGTATAACTTAGTGTAACTTATTTATTATTATTTGGGAGAATTTGAACATTTCCCCCCTTTTTACACTTTGAATTTCAAACAACATTACCAATTAATAACATATTGTGGATCTTTTGGGAGATATTATATTTGAGATTGTAAGAAATATATTGGTAGGTCAACTGTTCATGTTGCTTTCAATTTCGTTCACTCTATATAGATCTGATTCTGCCTTTAAATACCTTGAGACTTCTTTTATTCAGTTTACTTCAACTGTCATGACTAAAGCATTTGATAGTATTCACATAAAGGAGCATGTAGGTTATCGCAAACTATTTCAGACAATTCTAACTTGAATTATGAATATTTTCTGACCATGAACATATCTTTTAGATCTATTCATTATCTTCAAGAAAAGTAAATATAATGATAATGAAGTTAATCAGACCTAAGTGATATTAAAGGGAATGGACCAATCAACATACTTTTTACGAAAAAGTTGACTAATTTTTACCAAAAATGCAGCCTTTAATTATATTGTTGAATGCATAATTAGAATATGCTTTGAGACATGTTCTATTTCCTTACAGGAAAAGTGGATTGCTCCAGGGACTTAAAAGATACTGAATTTGGATGGCCAAAATGAACTGAAACCAATGGATAGCATGACTTTTTTCAATTGGGAAATAACAAGGGGAACTCTTATCATAGGGGTATTCAGTTTTCCTTTCAAGAGCTATTTGATACATTCAAATAAAGAATAGTAATGCATTTAACATAGTAAAAAATGATTGCATTTATTGGTGAAAATGAGGTCAACAGCTTTGAAAAAATATATTGATGGGTTGATTGCTAGCGAAATATCTCCGAGTCAGATTGACTTTATTATCCCTGTATACCTGTCTTCATGGTCAGAAAGTAGTCATAATCAAAGATATAACTGTCTGAAATTGTTTGTGATAACTTACCTGAACCTTTCCAGGGTCAAATCAGGAGTGACAAAATTATTTCCACCAGATTTTTTACATGTCTTCAAGAACGATAGTATTTTCTGCATAAGAGTGTCACTTGTGAAATTTATTGATTGACCCGGGATCGTACCATATCTTTATGCCATAGAAGTGAAAAAAACATATTGAACTTTAATGAATGGTGTTTGCCACTTTTCGACAATTGTCAAAATTTGGGGGTTTCATTGTCTAAATCTTAGGCCATATTTGTTGAGATATATGAATGTTCATTATTAAAATCTTGCCTTCCTTTGCAGTTGGGAATTTGGTGTTATAAGTCCCAGAGCACAATAAATAAAAGAAATAACAACAAAATGACATAGAACTGATAAACGTTTTCTCTTGTGTCAGCCATGGTCTACCAAATTGCTGTTAGTAGGAAGAAACTCATTTTTCAGTTTCCATTTTAATTTCCTGACAAATTGAGCGATCATCCCAGGATTTTTTGTATGATCTGTGTCGCCATAGCAACTTTTGTTTTAGAAACATTGCATGAACAATAGAAAAGATTATTTTACCATAATTTTAATCGTCCCACATTGTAGACATATTTTGAATTAAAAATATGAAGAGAATGACAAAACCTCCTAACACATTTCTTAGTAAACAAATAATGTGGTATTCTTGTTACTATGGCAACAGAGTTTTTCTTTTTGTCATTTTTGTCATACAGATTGCCTATCATACCAGGACCAAATCCTGAAAATTTGAAGTCAGTATCTTCATTAGTATCTAAGATATATAGGTTTCTTATAGTATCCCCTGCAGATTTTATCGGAGTGTAAGGAAAAACCTCTGAAGATGGTTTCCCAAGGATGCCACTTAACAGTTCTGGTGTTTTTGAGGTCCCAACCCTCTATTCATGTGAATAGTTAACAATTGTAAAGCATGGTTAACTCATGGTAAACTGACAAAATTGATTATATCTTCAACTAAGAAGTCAATAAAATGTTAAATCCAGAAAAACCACACCAACTTTCTTCTATTTACCAGGGGTAGGGCACTATAAAGTCATATTAAAATTACAAAATAGTACTTCATCACTATAATGGATGTATTACAATATCACACATAGCTTAAGAATGCTGATAGATTACTACTTTGAGCTGTTCAAGTTATCATATTTTGCTTGAAGCTACAAATATAAAATAAGCAAGAAAAAAATGACAAAAATTGCATATTTTTTTCTAATTAATTGTATTTTTCCGAAACCAACAAAGACATCAACCTATAATTTTAGGATCGTGTTCATCTCTGTACTAACAATGTATGCTGTAGAACTCAGAACAATAGTTCATATATCCTTTGAGTTATGAACTAATATTATAGTACCCCCTAAAATAATTTCCTAGGGGGGTAAAAACGCTAAAAATCAGTGTCATTGCCACCCCGTTGAGCTGTCATCTTTTAATATCTTTATCAGCATGATAAACTGATCCAGAAAAAATAGGTCTGTTGCTTTTTCTAAAAAATGCCTCAAAAACCCTTTCCCTTGAGATATTCTGAAATTGGAACCTGTCTATATAACTCGATTCGTGTATTTCCTGGAAAAAAAAAATGAACTATTATTCACAGAACAACAGTAAGTTACAAAAGTAATTGAAATACAGGTATTTACTGAGTTAATGTCAAACTAATATCAAATGAAATTTTATTCAGAGAACAATCACAACATAAGTGGTGTGCACTAAAGCTATGTTCACACCAACGGCGCCGTAGCTTAACCTTCGTCTAAGCCTTCAATGATTATAATTTGGCGACTCGAGTAAGTGTTACATTGGTTTATTCAACTACATCATGAGTTTGAATCTCATCCATGGACTACATTAGTTACGCTCATGAGTTGCCCAGGTATTTTCATTTTTCAATCTTCGGAGGGCTGTGAATCATTGATAATCAACGCTCTTGAATAATATAAAAAGCTGTTTTAAATAGGTTTCAAGCAAGTATGTCAATAATTTCCCAAATTTAATGCTGACACTTTCCTTAGTCCCTCGAATTTTCACTTGGAGGAATTCCCCCTAGTAATCTAATGGTCTCGTTCCAAACATAATTTGAGATTATAAGGATTCAAAGTAAATCGTTAATACACACCTTATTGGGTTGTGATATAAACCAAAACAACGTAATAAGGTGTGTTTTGAAATTTAACTTTCCTGTTATCTCAAAATCTACTTTAGTTAATTTCAAATGGACATTTTGGGCTCCGATTCTTAAATCACGAGGAATGTATTTTGAGGATAGATGGAAGTGTCATGCTTCATCCGACGAATGGACAGTTGGCCTGGTTTTTACAGTTATATGAATTTTTACAGTAATATGAAGATAATGACAGCAAATCCAGTAACGCCGCCGCCACCCCCGCCGTTGTCGTTGAAAAGGGCACCATAGGATGGGCTAGGATGGAGGCAGAGAAAGCTGTCGTGCCTTATGATTTCAGAATCCTTTTTCAGTAAGTCCAGTATCTTGCAGGAAGAGCAGAAATGGGATGGCACTCCCCCTACGAACGGCAGATCCGGCCAGCGACTCGATACAGAGATCGCTGCGAAGCCCTTGAGAGCAATAGGATACCTCGCCGTATTTACAAGTGGAACCAAGATTATGCCTCTCCTAGAACCAAGGATTGGTATTACAACCTGCATCATATTATAACCAGTGATCTCTCGCTTCCGTTTGATTCTCCACTTGGCCACGTATCCGCCAAACATGCCAAACTAGAGGCAAATGTCTTCCAAAGCTGGAAACAAACCATTTGGAACGACGGAAACCGCCCAGCAGGCCAAGGAAATAAGTTAAGAACATACAAAACTTTCAAGCTGGATTTAGAACCGAAAATCTACCTAGCATCTCATATTTCCATACGCGACCGGAAAGCATTAGCCTCTTTGAGATGTGGTGTTGCTCCGCTAAACGGGGCGTTACGAACGACTGCCAATTCCAGAGTGACTGTGTTATTTTTGTGATGTTAATGCCATTGAAAATGAACACCATTTCCTGTTGAAATGTCCGTTTTATTCTAGTATCAGAAATGATTTATTTTCCAAGGTTCAGAATAAAATTACAAACTTTCAAAGACTTACTGACAATGAGAAGTTCTATATCTTGATGTCAAGTCATGAGATTGCTGTTGATGTGGCAAAGGCCTGTGGCCAAATGTTTAAAAAAAGAGAACATAAACTGTACAATTAATTTTGATGAATATCGTTTTATACATAGTGTCTTATAGACCGAACACGGCCTGGGGTAAGAATATTGAATGTTTTTATTAAATTTTACAAATACAAATTCTTCACTTGTTCTAGCAGAGAAACTTATGGTCGCCATTTCCATTGGTTCCATTCCGAATCAGTATGGTCGTCGTTCATAAGTAGATTGGGCATCATTTGGCAGAGACATGGAACGTTGTTGCCCCTAACGCGTTTAGAATCCTATGTCAGACAGTCCAGTCGACCTAGCAGAGACCAGTGGTCGCTAGGCATCGGTTTTACATCCGACTTATGCGAGTTTGGTCGTTATCCATATTAGGCACCATAAGGGGGTTAAGAATGTTGTTGTGTTCATGAGTTGGGAATATTTTGTCGATCCGTTTAGTATTCTCAGCTGACATTTTTGAGAGATGTTTCATTTCTTTTTCTGTTGCTTCAATAACGGACTCATGTAAATGTTCGTGGTTCGTGATTTGGATGAACATTTATGAACGGATTTATGTAATAAATAGATTTTAATGATTTATGTACGTGAGTTTGCTATTTTATTTCAAATCCATTCATCGATTACACACACTTCACTTTATACAATAATGTTGACATGTTTTTGCAATAAAGTAGGTGCGAGTAGGTAGTTACCAGTTTCACCACCAGGTGGCTCGTTCGGGTCTGATAGCATGGCGCGTATAGTAGAAAGTTCACTTTGACTTAAATTACATCTGTTTTAGTGGTTCAATTTTCATATAACCCTTATGTATCTAATAGATATGCAAATTAAAATATGTCCAATAAAAGAAAATGTTATCTATCCAATACAAGAAAAGATATTTCACTTTTTGTGATTTTGTAACATGGGGTGTATTGGGAATCAACCCGAACTAGAAGTCACATTTTCAAAAATAATTAAATTTTCAAAGTTGATAAATATTTTTCGAAACCGTGTTTCTAGATGTACTTTTACATGTAGATTTCAAATATGACATCAATTTGACTGAATTTTGAATATTTACCGACATAAATCAAGATTATTTCTACTCGCATCTAGTCTATTGCAATATGTACAAAAAAATATTGAGCAAAATAATGAATCCTTAGACCATCCAATAAATATATATAAACATGTTAATTTTGTAATATCATATATATTTTATAGCATTTTGTGTCTGAAACAATAGTGTGGTGACATCGCTTTTCTTATCACTGTGTCACCGGTCAATAAATATCGCCTCTACAGTGTCTCAAAAAAGTGTTACACTTACAAAAAGTTCAATATCTTTCATAATTTTGACTTTTCCATTAAACTATACTTTGATACCAAAAGACAAGTCTTTTTCGAATAAATCCACACCATCAGATTCAAAATCCGTCCATGATTGGCTGCACAGGACAGATTTTACAGACGCATGTGAAATCTGATTTGCGCCAACTTCTCAGTGGTTGGACATGTAGTGATCAATTCTATTTTGGTGTGAATGCTGTGGACAGTGATATCTGGATGGTGCCTGTGGCACATCGTTTGATAGAACTCTTTGGAAATCAGAGGATTGCATCGAATTACCCAATTGATTGGCCCCGGGGTCATTCCACGTTACACCCTTGCTTTTTTGAAGTGCTTCTGAAAGCGCTTTACAGCATTACAAACTGACCTAAATGAACTTCTGCAAAAATAATTGATGGAATTAATGTGATATTACAATGCATGTGCGCATGGGCAAGGGTACCTCAGATATGCTTTGGAGAACATGTTGAGGGGACCACATGTTTATGTGGATAGACCTAATGATCATATGTAACACAAATAGGGAAATTACAGAATGACTCAGTTAAAGGTCAAGCTTCAACTCAGAAGAAAGTTAAATGTTAAAGAAACTGTTCCTTTTTTGTCATTTGGTCCATCCAATCACTTAGAAGTTGGCGCAAGTCAGATTTTACCATGGGACACTAAAAACTGTCCTGTGTAGTCAATCAAGGACAGATTTTGAATCTGATGGTGTCAAATTATTCGAGAAAGATTTGTCTTTTGGTATCCAAAGTATATTTTAGGGGGAAAGTCAAAATTATGAAAGATATTGAATTTTTTGTAAGTGTAACATTTTTTGAGACACCCTGTATTTTCCTATACTTTAGGATTTTAATCATAGGTTCTGGGTCGATATAAAGATGGCAGCACCAACAGAATCCAGTATTATCTAAAGAGAAACATAGATAAACACAGATCGATTACCATGCCATCTTTATTCAAATTGATTTCTATCCCCTTAGCCTATGATTTTAATATGTTTCAATCTAAACTTTGCTAAATATAACTAATAATGGGTCGATTAGTAAAATAGCATAAAAATGTGATGATGGTGAAGATACCCAAGGATTAAGTACTCGAGTCTCTGGCCAATTCACGATACAGTGGCCTTAGAAGAAGGTAACCCAAGGATTGGTGATGAGAGTTTTCCACGGCAACCATACATCCTCTTAATAAACAGCAAGTTTAATCGATAGGACAATTATTAGTAATATTTAGCCAAATTTGGATTATAACAGCTTAAATGGAATGATGTAAGCAGGCATTGTTTATTGAAAAACCTTTGTACATGTACTTCGTATAATAATATGTCACAAATTCGAAAGAAAATTACAAAAATACATGTTTTGTTTATATAACTACTATACACATTATTGCAATAATAATATTAATTCCACTTGCTATATTTCAAAATTCATTCCAACTATTTCTACGATTTGACAAGACCGATCATTTTGTAAATCTGGCGGGATGGATTCAATTGGTCCCTAGAACTGTGACATTACCTTCAAATTTAAATAGCTTAATAGCATACATTTTCATTGAAATAAATGAAGGTCTTGCTATAAATCCATATAAGGCTTTAGGAGAATCTGATATTTAAAGTATGACCATTTTTAAAACATTTTTTTGAATTGTTCGAGTGCATGCATGTACTAAATTAAATTTTATTCACAGAACAACATAATTGGAATGGACTACATTGCATCATGGTAAGCCACACCCTCTCCATCTCTATCCTTGACACATTGGTTTTGCTATTGTTAATGATTATTGTTAATAAATATTGCTCATTGTCCTTAATGACCAGGCCGTAGCCAGGGGGGGGGGGTCAAACCCTAACCCAAAATTTAATCATGCAGTTTTTCATCATTCTGAGCACTTTTGAAGTGATTTTGGGCCAAAGTTGTCAAGTGTGAACCCCCTGGAATTTTATGAAAAGTGAACCCCCATGGCAAATACAGATACAGGTTAACAGTGCATTGATATATACAAAATGTAATAAGTATTCTGTAGACTGTTGGATGTAATATAGTCTCAAGCTTGTGAATTGTGTTACACAATTGTTGCCTAGCTACAAGCCTCTGTGACCCCCCCTCTACTTGGCTTAAAAACTTTCCATGGTTGTTGTCTTGTCGTGGTGGGGCGGTGTTACAGGGGCTTTTAGCTAGACTAACACAGTTCTTGAAATTGAATTAGAGGTTATACCATTGCTTACTGCAGTAATATCATAATAATAGGGAGTTTAAGCTTGCATATAAAATCGAAACACCAACCTATACGTATGACCAATCACTCATACAAATACACTGCTTAAATATTTGCCGTTCACGTTTAGGTTGTAAAAAACATTGCAAGCTTAAACTCCCTAGTAATATCTCAGACAATTTTGAGTGATTGAAACACTAAGTGATTGAAATATCAAAGGAGTTGTATAGATATGGGGTATGTTTTGAACACGTGTTTCTCTTAAACCAGTCATCAAAACATTCTGAAAATGTTACACATCGTCAATTTAATGATCATCTTTTGTATGGTAACATTATAATTTGAAACAATACATATACTTTTCTCTATATTGTTTTAGAAAACACACCAGACACTTCTTTTGTTCTTGGTATCATATGTTCGGAATGAAATGACACGGATCTATCCGAACCTCATTGGAACAAAACGACATAAACACAACGTGTTTAGGTCTCTCAATATTGTAATTTCTATCTATTTTGGGGGGTTTCATTTTAAGTTTTTGCATACTTTTTGTTAAATCAACCAAAATTTCCTTTGTATAACTATAATATTATATTGAGAGGTCTAAGAAAATGTTGTATATGCTATTTTGTTCCAACAAGGTTCATTCTCAAGAATTGGTAGAAAGGAACAAAAACAATTGGACTAAAAGTGTTAACAGAAACAGTTATATAAAATAAATATAAATAATTTTTGCATTAAATTGTTGCCAATAAGTCAACATTACATAAAGGACTGTGTTTTTTACAGAATATTTTCAATAATTAGTTTAAGAGAAAAACATTGCTGAATTCAGTTCACCATATCGATACATATCCTTTGAAACATCAATTTATTGATCATTTATAGAGAGAGCAAAGGAAGTTATGGACAGGCACAGAGGAGAGTGCCGCAATGACAATTCCACAAGAATCAGATACACTTGCAACTCCCATACTATACTCCCTTTCTTCAACCTTTACCTTTCTAATGATTGTATAGAATGTATTCACATACCCTGCACCACCAAATAAACCCTCCAATAATATGATACAAAATACGATCCAAATACTCGGCATGAACTGATAGAGAACCTGACAGAGGAGAACTATAAGTGTAATCCCTTGGAATATCGGGAAAATCCATATTTTCTCTGTGTGGAAGCAATTTACTGATGATCGCGATATCAGGACGCCAATTTGATAAATGACTTGGTACCACCTATACTGTTCACGCTGTACGAGGAAAGTATTTGGAAAGTACAATAACTCATAGAGTGTTTGGTTTATGAAGTACTCAAACGTGTACACTAATCCCAATGGTATCATATATTGCAATAGTGGCAATATCAACACCAGTTTTTCCTTCAGTGTATGCTCACATCTCACTTGGGCCTCCTTCTCATCAGTGATTAGTGGAGAACTGTCATCGCTATCAACTTCAGCATTAATGTCAGCATCTGTGTTCTTTTTCTCTAATTTCTGGGTGATTGTTTTTGGATGTATCAATAGCCAAAAATATGCGAAACCCAAGGTAACAGTAAAGATGAGCATAAGCAAGACTGTATTTCGGGGTGAAAGTCCAATATTTGTAAGGCCTGCATATAACAGTGCTCCCCCTACACCAGCCCCTCCAGTCCCCGAAGACCAAGTTGAAATCGTGTTTGCAGAAAAATGGGAGGCAAGACTAAGGAATGTAATTTCACCAAATCCTGTACTAATACTAGCGCAAACAACGCCAACAATGCTGAACCAAATGACTTTGGACAGTGCGACGATGATAAACGCAGCTGCAGAAAATATAATCGTGATAAGTACACGAATGCTGTATGGTATTTTTTGCATGAAGAATGGTGCGAGCATTTTAATGAACAAACACGGCAAGATATCAGCTAGGAGAATAACACCAGTCCCCGCTGGATTGCAATGCGCTATCAAAGGAGTCCTATTTGATGCCATCACGTCTTCAAGCATGATATCTCCAGGCATTGTTGTCCCGTTATGTTCAGGAGCTGGTGTAGTTGCGTTAGGGCCATTTGGGCCAGGTTTAGGCTCGAGTATATCATATGCTGCACTTAACATTATCACATACGATAAATTATTGCACAATCCAAAAAGCCAGAATGCGGCAAGGTTTCTTCTATTGTTACATTTTTCTTTTTTCTCCTTCTCTGCTTCAGAAACTAAATTGAATATTTCAGGTGACTCGTCCTTGTTCTTTATACCAGACATCTTGTATCCAGTTTATTCTAAACGATATTGCAATCCACCCAAATACAGATATTGTCCCTTCAAGTTTACTATTCAAAAGGGAAGCTCAGGTATGAAAATGTTAATAATATGCTCATTAATGATTCTGGATAATAGACTACGATGTACCAGTTGAAATCCAAGTCCTAAAGTCTAAGTACTCCAAGCAGATAAAGTCAATTCACCAATTCACAATTCTATTCACCAATGTTTCATTGAGTTTCACTGTCTTCAAAAGGCTCATTTAATATTCTTTTAATCCATCATGTACCAGCAGCTGCTTTTCTTCACTGTTCTGAAATAACAAAATATAGATAGCAATTTATATTCTGATAAGAGAACAATAGGTTTACCTGCATGATATACTGGAAATAACATGTATAAATAGTATATATAAATAACATTAATTTCACATGATAAAGTTCAACCTGAGATGATACCAGAGAGATGATATGCGGTGGCCTATTTACCTAAGTTCTGATAACACAATAGTCACATCAAATCTGTTATAACTTTTAAACCTAGATATGTCCTAAGTGTACCCCTGAGATAAAAGAGCTATATTTAATAGTAAATTCACACATAGCTAGGCAAGGTGTGTCAGATTCCAGCCAATCCGAACAGAATATTCACATAATGAACAGTGTGTGAATATCAATAACGCATTTGTTGTGTACAGTTGCTAAGCGATTGAGATTGAAATTGAGTTTTCCAATACTTGACCCTTGCAAAAAGTTTCAATGAAAATATATTCTTTTAGTGCTTTTGCATCTTTTAGGTGATTTTATAGAAAATATTTTGCAATGTATGAAAAGAACTTAAGCCTAGGACTCAATGCATTGTGGCTGCTTCATTCCACTCAGATGTTGTTTCCTAAACTTAGCATTCCCCCTGCCGGGTCATACAAAGATTTGGAAACAACATCTTTGTGGAAAAGTTCAGCACACAATGCTTAAAGGAATATTCCTTGCCAAACCATCTCTCTCCTCATATGGTAGCTATAACCATATATATGCTTGCCATGTTTAGCAAAACACGCAAAAATGTTTTGATATGGTCAAATTTGATCACTTAGAAATGTGATGCTCAATTCCAGTAAGCTGCCATCTTTTAAAATTTCACACAGGAAGTGATGTCATCGACTCTCATCTTTGCATATAGCATTAGGTGAGGAGCTATTAAGAATTACAAAACCAGCTAAATATTCTTTTTCAACTTTGTATCTTATTTAATCCTTCTGAAAATCTCTTCTTTTATTCTAAGTTGACAAGCTCTGAAAATATTTTTGCACAAAAAGTAATGATCACTTGTCTAGAAGTGATTTTGTGCTATACTGTTATGGGCAAAGTTATAGAAGTTGAGAGTTGATGACATCACTTCCTGCAAGAAATCTTAAAAGATGGCAGCTCACTGGAAATAAGCACTAGATTTTTAAATGATCAATATTGACCATATTAAAACATTTTCCCATGTTTTGCTAAATATGGAAACTATATATGATTATAGCTACCATATCAAGAGAGAAAGGGTCTGGCAAGGAATATTCCTTTAAATCCAAGGCCAAGGCTAAGGTTAAGTCCAAGGCTTAATCCTTAATGAATAGAATTAGTTATGTTAATAAGACACACATTCATAAATATCCCACTGTAAAGACCAAAATGGCCACCACATAATTTACCCAACATGCCTAAAACCTAATCAGATGTTGGCGCCTGTCCTGGATGTTATGAGTATTATGACAAGGGGGGGGGGGGTGCCCAACCCTCTCCCCTTTTCCACAAATAATTTGATTAAATTTTAAAAAATAGATTTGTATTTTCTGACAAAAAAACAAATGAGTATGTAATGCCAATGTATATCTTCTATAAAAGTTCATAAATTAAAATTATCAAGATCAATTGAGAAATTAAAATATTGAATAAAATAATTAAACAACGAAATATGTACATCCGAACAACTCGGACCAGCCAAAATTGTTCGAATGAACAGGTGTTCACTTTTCCTTCATGATCATGTACAATTTCAGTTGAAACATTGTTCAACCATGGAGCTAGTATCAATCATACTCCATGGCAGGAGTTGGTTTTAAACATACCACTGCGATGGGCAAATCGTTAGTCTCAGCTTCTACCATAATATGATAATTTTACCTAAATCAATCGAAGTACTAGCACTTGTTGGGACATCCCTAGAATTAAACAGACTAATAAAGACACTACCATTGGCGTTAGAGTATCAATAATAAAAACTGATCCATGATGAATTGTTCTAGTTAATATTTTCTGGGAATTCTGGGAACCTTCTGAACAGACAAATACTTCATTGTTATTCACCATATATAGGTTGTCTCAAAAATGTACCCAAAAGTATTTCAACGGCATAGACAGAACAATCAATATTTTACAACATTTTTACACGGGTTACTAGAGTATCCGCGTATATTGAGTATGACCGGTTCTAAGCTTACGAGTGTGACCGTATTTCTGTTCCTATAAACAGACGAGGTGAGTACTTGCTTTTTATGAACACTTTCGAACGTTTTCTTTTTATCCTACTTGGTCAATGAATGATACTTGATATACTTATAATGCCAGGCATATCACAAGGGGCCTTAATCAAGAGAAAACGTATTAATATTAGATTGAAGCCGTAAAATCCTAGTTTCCAGCATCTTTGATCAGTTTTTGTGTAACGCAACGCAACTCCGAAGAGGATGACACATCTTATGTATAATATATAGCTAGATCTACGAATTAGTCATGAATATTTTAAATAATTTAGCCTGCTCTGTCCAAATATGATACATCTTTGAATTTTTGAGAATACGAATGTCACTGGTGCCCCACTATTTGAGAATACGGTTGTGAAACAATCAGTGGGCCGTGTTACACTCGTTTCCATGACATTTCACAAGCGTATCCTCTGGGCAAAGATAAATCCTTCTCTTGCTCACTCTTCGGGGGATCATATAAACTGAGATTTGGAGATCTTGTTCAGATTAGCCATAAAAAGGTTTGGGATTTGTTTTTTTCTACTGTGATATTAATGATTTGGCTCTAAGGCGAGAAATCTGTACTTTCTGATTGATATTCCATTATGAACAGTTACATTGCTAAAATAGCTCATGTTTAACATTTTTTTGTTACATTACTATTAAATACAGCATAAACTATATTCAACAAACACAATTTCAAAAAGGATAATATAGAAGTTAACCTTTATTTTCCATTTTTAAGCAGCTGTGCCTCTCATGACTTTCCAAAACAGGTCATATTCGTAGCCTAAGAACCGTCATACTCCATATACGTGGAAACTCTAGTAGCCCGTGTTTTTACATGGTCTTGAAGTCAAAACTTGTAAGTTTTTCCCCTATACACAGTTTTTATTCAGTTTTGCCTCTTTGATATCTCAACACTTTACCTTTTACACCATATAATGAATGTAACCTCATATTACGATGACAGTCTGCTCCCTTACTACTACATTGTTGATTCATGTTTGATATTTCTGGTGGAATGTTTTGATTTCTGTTCGGATGCTGGTCTTAAGTTATTCTAGGTCTCTTAGCTTGGGTTAAGCATAAAAATGATCCTTCAAATAGCCCCAGGGAAAAAATATGGGCTGTCAAATCTGGTGAATAGGGAGGCCCTCACAGTGTCTTATAGCATAGCATTCTGGTCAAAACTGAATACAATTGTGAACAGGATACTCAATCGGCCGGGCCCGATGAATGGGAGCAAATGTGACACAGGTATTAATAGGTGTGTTTTTAATATACATGTAGACATAGACATCATCTTTGAATTGTGTGCCCGATTTATTTTCTACTTGTGGATTCTTGTAATAAATTACCCTTTGCCTAGATTATACTATATTACAGTTTTGCAGCCCCATCCCACGACCAGTGCCTATGGCAGCCTAGGTCATAAATCTTTCAACCTACCACACACTTTTTCCGAAACAATCAACAAGATGGAAGGAAAACATGCTATGCAATGACTAAGAGGAAATAACCCTACATTGAGTCATCTATATTTCAATAAAACTCTGATTGGCTCGGGAGTTCAGATATTAATTGCAAAATGAAAGAATCAATATAAAACTCTCTTTTAAGAAGCAAAATTGAATGGAAGCAAAGTGTACAACTTTATTTTCATGATTTTAATCCAATTACAATCTGCATATCAACAATATTATCTAGTAACATGGTCAATGTAGCATAACATTAATCTCATTGTTTAATTGACTTACAAATAGTTATATGTAAACAGCAAGTTCATTATTTCCCCTCAAGTGTGGAACTAAATTAAAATCACAATATATTATTGAGCCTTTATTAGATCAAATAAACCAAAAATGACGTTGTGATAGAGGTTGAGATGCAGCATACTGTTGATCAAAATCTAGCTATTGTAAATTTTATTCTAATATGAAAGTGGGCAGGTGTAATTACTGTTCATGAAGTATTTCAGTTCACAAAGCTTGAACATTCAGAGATTCATGAGATTAGAATTCTGAAATCCACAGAAATTAAAAAAACATTCTTAATAATTGTTTACAAACACATTGTAATTAATCATTAACAGAGATTTTTCAAGAAAGTGTTAGGAAACAATTATTTATTATACGAGGGGTGATCCAAAAGTCTTGGACGTCCTTCTCTAATTTTGTTGGTTTTTGATAAAATTACTTTAAACTTTCCAGTAATAAAGACCAACAACCTAACTACTTTGTGTATTAATTTCATGGAGAAATGATATGTTTTATGTAGTTTTCTAGACAGTTAATTATAATAAATAATTGTTTCCTAACACTTTCCTAACACTTTCTTGAAAATTGTTTACTACATTCTTTATTATTGTTTACAAACACATTCTTAATTATTGAATACAAACACATTCTTATTAATCATTCACAGACATATTCTTAATTATAATGGTAGAACTAACATTTTTGATATTTCACCAAGTAAAACTGAATTTAAGTGAATAACACCAAACATTGTGCTCTACATTTACATTATTATGGATATTGTCAACAGAGTTAAGTTATAGTCTACTATCATTTGAGATTATAGCATGGTTAAATGTTTAATATTCTGCTCCCTCCTCATCACCTTCTCCTTCAACACTGTCTCCTCCAGCCTCCTCATAGTCTTTCTCTAAGGCAGCCAGATCCTCACGTGCCTCAGAAAACTCTCCTTCTTCCATACCCTCTCCCACATACCAATGGACAAATGCACGTTTAGCATACATGAGGTCAAACTTGTGGTTAAGCCTTGCAAATGACTGAGCAATCGCGCTTGTGTTGGCTATTGAGCAGACTGCACGCTTCACTTTGGCTTGGTCACTTCCAGCGACAACAGTAGGTGGCTGGTAGTTGATGCCACACTTAAACCCAGTGGGACACCAATCCACAAACTCGACTCTACGATCCGTCTTGATTTTAGCAACTGCAGCATTGACATCCTTGGGCACAACATCACCTCGATACATCATACAGACAGCCATGTATTTTCCTTTTTTGAGCTCGCAATGCACCATCTGGTTTTCTTGTGCAAAGGCAGCCTTGGTAATCTCATCAACTGAAACCTGCTCATGGTAGGCCTTCTCAGCAGACATAAGAGGAGCATAGGAAGTCACCATATGATGGATGCGTGGGTAGGGCACCAAATTTGTCTGGAACTCAACCATATCAACATTTAAGGCCCCATCAAAACGAAGAGAGGCCGTGAGAGAGCTGACAATTTGGCAAATGAGACGATTCAGGGTGCTGTAGGATGGCCGATCAACACCTAAGTTACGTTGACAGATATTAAAGAGTGCCTCATTATCAAACAAACAAGCAACATCGGAGTGTTCTGAGGAAGCATATGTTGTCAGAATAGAGTTGTAAGGCTCCACAACTGCTGTTGATATCTGAGGGGCAGGAAAGATGCTAAACCCCAGCTTAGCTTTTCCTGAATAATCACGAGAAAGACTTTCCGCCAACCTTGATGTGAATCCAGAGCCAGTGCCTCCACCAACTGAATTAAAGATCAGGAAGCCTTGAACACTAGAGCAATTATCAGTGAGTTTCCGAATACGATCTGTTACATCATCCATTAATGCTCTGCCAACTGTGTAGAAACCTCTAGCATAGTTATTTGCAGCATCCTCTTTACCTGAGACTAGCTGGTCAGGTTTAAACAGCTGTTTGTATGTACCCGTTCTGATCTCATCTAAAAAACAGTGCAGATTTTAGTATTATTTCACATTTAAATGGTTATAAAGAGTTAGACTTCACTTCATTTTGTAGCATTAGGCTTACAAGTTTAAGTATATGAGTAATTTAATGACATACAGTAGAACCTATAAATCTGAACACCTCTAGCTCATTGTGAATACTTTTTATCAGTCCATACTCACATGTTAATAACCTCAAAATGTAAACACATGCCAACTGAACACTTTTGGTTGGTCCCAGTGCTGTTCAGATTAGACAGGTTTTACTGGACTTTGACATAAATGAGGTCTAAGAGTGATTAAGCAGTTACATAAAATGCTTGTGATTATGCACTTACCAATAACAGATGGTTCCAAGTCCACAAAAAGAGCTCTTGGGACATGCTTCCCTGAATCTGTCTCACTAAAGAACGTGTTGAATGCATCATTTTCGCTATTAACAGTGCTGTCACTTGGCATTTGACCATCAGGCTCGATTCCATGCTCAAGGCAGTATAGCTCCCAGCAGGCATTGCCCATTTGGACACCAGCCTGCCCAATGTGGATAGAGATACATTCCCTCTAAAAATTATAACAAATTAAAGACTCAATGCTTATATTTTAATGCCTTTCTTTCTGCTATGTTATTTTCGAAAGAAATAACATGGCTGAAACTTCAAAAGTAGTTTTTCAGCAGTTATGATGGTGATGATGATTTATTGGATTAACCTGATGATAATTGATTTTTAATTTGGCATCTGCATGGTTCTTATTGCAATCTAATCCCTTTATCATCTGCCACGTGCTCTAAATGAATAAAATGATTTCATTCATTCCAGTCACTTTTTTGTTTCGACAGTCATATTTTAAAATTATGAAAGTGACAGCAAGTCTAACAGTCAGGTTTTCAACCCTCGTTACAATCTCCATAAAGAGGCGATATGAAAAGTTTACACAAGAAAAGGAATAAAAAATCATGGAACCATGCTACTCCTACATTCAATAAAATATGATGCAAAGATAGATTTGTGTTAATATTGGAGAGAAAAAACATTTGAAGTTCAGAGATTGTCAGTTGCACATGCATACATTCACAAAGGAGTTTTAAATACCTTTTGTTTGAAAAGATGGCGTGTGTGGTTGGACAGGTTGATCAAAATATTAATAAAAAGCTTCTCCATCTTCTCCAGGTTTCATTGACATTGGTAAAAACTTGACAGATCAAAAAAATTGTCACCTGGGGTAATAATTGTTTTCATGAAAATGTAGAAAGTATGCATGGATTAATTTTATTCTTTATTTATTAATTAGGCTAAAAGAAGATTACCACCTTCAGAAGTAAATTTTCATGGTTGAAAAAACTACAGAAATATATCTATGTAATATTAAGCTGAGGCAAATGCCTCACCTATCTTTTTCCTCACCTATGAAAATAAAAAAAACACAACGATAGCTGATTAGAAGGTACATGAATCTTTATACATATAGGGCTATCGTAAAACCAGTTGAGGCTTTATGGCAAGTATCCATGTTTAAGTACATGGAATGACTTCACATGAACTTGCCTATTATTGTAAAAATACCTATGAATGCACTCTGAAACATGTGCCAGATAATAAGAATAAAGTGGTCATATATATTTGAACAACCATATGCTTACTGTAACATATAAAAGCTCATGATATTTGCATAATCATATGCTTACACATATTTGCAAAATAATGTGCTTACTATAACATATATTTGCACAATCGTATACTTGCCTCTATTTTCACAATCATGGGCTCTCATTTATTTTCACAATTATGTGAATGCATATATTTGCACAATGAAGTGCTTGCATATATTTGCACAATCGTGTGCTTTCATACATTTTCACAATCATGTGCTTGCATATATTTTCACAATCACGTGCTTGCATATATTTGCACAATCATGTGCTTTCATCTATTTTCACAATCATATGCTTGCATATATTTTCACAATCACGTGCTTGCATATATTTTCACAATCACGTGCTTGCATATATTTGCACAATCATGTTCTTTCTTATATTTGCACAATCATGTGCTTTCATAATTAGCTTACATATATTTGTCATATTTTGCTTAAATATATAGACCTTGTATAATGCAATCGGTCAGAATTTATTTTCAAATGGATGAAAAACAAAAAACAAAATTGCCATAAGAAAATAATCATCTCATTTTGAAAACAACTCATCATTATTTAGGACACACAGATTAGTCATTATGAATTTAAAATAGATAAAGAACTTAATTAACACTTACCATTTTGATGTATGATGGTTTTATGCACCTCTAAACTTGCAGCAGAAAGCTTGTCCTTTTATTTATGTCTTATTTGTCTTTTTTAAATGATTACTGTTTTGGCAAAGGGCAATACCACCCTTGGGTCGAGTGCCAAGTGAGGATTTCATTGGTAAAAACACAAGGAAGAGAATTTTTCCAAAAGCATATAACTTATGTTATCAAAATTCTGATTACTGTACCAACTTAAGTAATATGAGATATATGCATAAAAATGGTTGAATAAATGATGGAGTTATAACACTAAAAGCATGATAATTGTATAATACACTGCTTTAAATAACCCTAGCATGAACTTTCTATCCTGCATAACATATGTCTGTTTCATTCGTAATAATGTCACTCATATATCTATATATTCTTTTTCTAATATTGCCAAAACTTGATAAGTCAAAACTGGTTATTATTGCATTTTAAATGGTTATTCATGTAATAAATCGATTATAATTGAATGAGATAGCAAATTCCCCGGTAATTTACAATCGGTACATTGTAATATTGCAAGTCCGCCAAATTAAGTAGCTGCCAAATTTTCAAAACAGCAAATTCGCCAAAATAAGTAGCGCCAAATTAAGTAGAAGTACAATACATGAAAATGGCGTTCTTGCTGAAAATATTGTAAAATTGTAAAAACTGAAACATATCTCAGGTCATCTTATTCTTTCTTGCGATAGAATCACAAAAACTAGAACGAGTATAGGTGCTCCACCTATCGGCAGAACTCAAAACTACCTTTCTGCATTGATTACACTTCTTTCTTCTTCTTCTTCTTCTTCTATTACAGTACAGACTCCTCTTTAGGATATTTCGTACTATGTGTGCTTGCGTGCGGTGTATATACAATTGTAGTGTGAGTGTGCATTAAAATGTCTAAAATCGTTTTAAAATCGTCATCACTTAGTACGAAAGCATCACACTCCCTGCCTCCTTAAAAATGTCCAGGGAATCGATCATGGCTACATTTGCTGGAAGAAGGTTCCATAGTCGTATGGTTGCAGGGAAAAATGAGTAAAGATGTAAATCTACTCTTGAGGATGGGACAAGGTAGCGTAGGTTGTGACCCCTGGTCACAGATCCTACTGGCTCGAGGTATGCCGCTGGTGGAATGGCTACCTTATGGTGGACTATCTTGTAAAGCATGACTACTCTTGTCAAATTACGTCTGTCTTGTAGTGGTGGCAGCTGCAGATTCCTCAGCATGGTGGTAGGGCTGCTGGTTTGTCTGTAATCTTGTGTTATAAATCTGGCTGCTCGTCGCTGTACTCCCTCCACCTGCCCGATTGCCTTCTTCGTGTAAGGGGACCATACGGAAGAGGCATATTCCAGCTGTGGTCTAACAAAGGTGGTGTATGCTTGTTTCCTCACATTGCTGGGGCAGGAGCTGATGTTACGACGGAGGAAGCCCAGGGTGGAGTTGGCTTTCTTGGTGATGGCAGACACGTGAGGATTCCAAGATAAGGTGTTACTGATGTTTACACCTAAGTACTTAGCAGTGTCCACTGCACATAACGGTTGGTCATGGATGCAGTACTGGTGTAAACGAGGTGATCTTTTCTTGGATATGTGTAGTACCTCACATTTGTCTGGGTTGAATCGCATCAACCAAGAATCCTCCCATCTTTGTAGAGTGTCCAGGTCTTGTTGGAGTCTCTTCGCATCCATCTCAGATTTCACTCTGCGATACATCAAGCAATCATCTGCAAAGAGGCGAGTGGTAGAAGTTACAGCCTCTGGCAGGTCATTGATGTATGCAAGGAATAACAGTGGTCCTAAAACAGTCCCTTGGGGCACTCCCGATGTTACTGGAGCTGATTTGGACTGTTCACCATCAAGGACAACACACTGTGTTCGATCTGTGAGGAAGTCTTTGATCCAAGCATGGGTTGATCCTGTAATGCCATAGAACTGAAGTTTATGGAGCAGCCTTCTGTGTGGGACTTTATCAAAAGCCTTGGAGAAGTCAAGCAAGATTGCATCAGCTTGATCTCCGTTATTCAGTTCTCTTGCAAGGTCGTGGATGGTTACGATCAGCTGCGTTTCACAGGATCTCTCAGCCCGAAACCCATGTTGGAAGTTGGTGAGAATTTTGTTTGTTTCCAGGTGTTTCATTGTCTCGCTGAAGATGATGTGTTCAAGAACTTTACAGCATATTGATGTAAGTGAGACTGGCCTGTAATTAGATGCCAACGATCGATCACCCTTTTTGAAAAGGGCTACAATGTTAGCATCTTTCCAGACTTTTGGGATCTTGCCCTGATTAAGGGAAGCCTGGAAGATCAGGCTAATCGCTGGTGCAATCTCACTTGCTGTCATCTTCAGGAATTGTGCTGATATGTTGTCCGGTCCGGTGGCTTTGTGTGGTTTTAAGGTCTTAAGTTGTTTGAGCACTCCATCAACATGAATACTGATATTCGGCATTCTAGGATGGGGAGAAGGGCCTTTGTTGGGAATGGCACCTTCTGGCTCATGAGTAAAAACTGACACAAATTGGTCATTGAGCACCTCTGCCTTGGCTTTACTTGAGCTGAATGTTGTGCCATCACGCTTCAAAGGGGCCACACCTGAGTTGTCACATTTCTTGGACTTAATAAAGCTAAAGAAGCGTTTGTTACAACCGTCACCCACCAAGCCATCCAAATAGGTGTTATATGCTTTTTTGCATTCTCGCTGGGACTTGTTCTTCACTGAACGATAATAGTTCCAGTCCTGCGAGCGTTTGGATTTCCGGGCACGGTTGTATGCACGCTTCTTCCGATGTGATAGCTGTTTCACAGTTGTTGTTATCCAGGGCTGGTCAAAGCGTGACAACGTCATCTTAGATGGTACGCTCTTTGCCATAAAGCGGTTACAAGCTTTTGAGAGTTCATCCCAAAGGTCTTGTATGGGAGTGGAGGTGTCACACTTCTCACAAAAGCTTTTGGCAAAAGTTGCTACATCGGTTTTAAGGGTGTCCATGTCTGCTCTCTTCCAGAGATATATCAGGCGCTTTACCGGACGTTGACGTGTTGCTTGTGTGTTGGTGTCAATCTGGACAATGTCATGGTCACTTATGCCTGGGATGGTCTTACAGCTGTGAACCAAACTTGGTCGATTAGTGGCAAAGAGATCTAATGTATTTGCCATACGAGTTGGAAAATCGACTAGCTGTTCGACACCAATGTCCGGAAAAAGCCCAAGAAAAATCTCATTGATGGACTTAAGATATTGGTTGCCTTCAATGGTGTTTGTAGGCCAATTTATATCTGGGAGATTGAAATCACCAGCAACCCAAAGTGTAGCGTTCGGATGGGCAGACGCTAGGGTACTTAAACAACGACACATCTCCTGGGAATTATCTATGTCATTGTTGGTTGGTCGATAAGCACCAACTATGATTAGGGGTTGTTTGGCCTTATGCTGTTTCACCTTGACTGCAACAAGCTCACTTGTGGTTTGCAGGGGAATCTGTGAGCTAATGAGTGCCTTGGATATTGAAACAAGCACTCCCCCATGGCCATCCGGGCGGTCTTTCCGATATGTTTCGAAGTTTGGTGGAATAGCTTCGCTGCTCAGTATTTGAGGTTTGAGCCATGTCTCTGTACCTATGATGATATCAGGTTTGATTGAATCAACGACATTGAGAAAAGACGCCTTTTTGGCGGTGAGGCTTTGGAAATTTATGTTAATTACTCGTAAGCAATTGGGTGGAGAATATTTTCGATGTTGAGGCCTGGCTGTAGTGGGGGAAGATGCATTTAGGGGAGATCCTGGTATGGAAGTAGATGAGGAATTGAGGGATTCTGTATCAATACCATTAAATGAGTTTGAGAATAAAGAAGAATTAAAGCTAGGGAGACCGCATGTACCGCATTGAAACGAGTGATTTGCCGCCTGGTTATACATTTCATCACCCATACCGATACACTTAGTATGAAACCATTGATCGCAGTGGTCGCAACAGACTCCCTTCGAATTCCAGCGTACTGCTTTTGAGCACGAGCCGCAAGGGTATTTGACTGGGCCTGGATTTTGATGGGTGTCTCCTGAGAGGGCAAGCAATATATAGTAGATGAAGCCAGTGGCTCTAGGAAAAGGGGCAGCACCTGTATTTTGACGGATGCAAAGTTGGCACCACGAAGGAACTTCACTATGTGGTACAAAACCAATGAAATTAGGTGAAAGTAGGTTATAATCTATTGGATCAGATGTGAGTACATAATGGTCTGAGTACACGAATCTCCAAAGGAAGATGGTCAAGATGATGCTGCCGGTAAGCATAGTGGATGACCTTGAAATTTGAAAAATGTCCGCCAAAATTTTTGGGTTTTCAGAGTCAAATTGTACTATTTTTGCCACTGCACTATGGCTAAATTTTGAATGAATGTGTTCTAAATAGTCTAAAATATGATCTACTATTGCTTTTGATTTGTAAGGTGACCTAAAACGGCCTAAAACTTAGATTTTCTCTCCAAAGCAAAATTTTTGTTGATACACCTCACGCATGCGCACAGAAGCAATAGAAGCATAGGTTTTGGACTGATATAAAGATGGCAGCAGCTAAATCTTATTAAAACACAGATTGATTACTATGCCATCTTTACTTAAAAATTATTTCTATCATCCTTGGCCTGGATAGATAGAATGATGTTATGAGTTGGCAATGGTTAAGCTGACAGAACCAATTGCAGAGGTTGAGTTACCTGTAGAGTTCAAGTTACTGTAGAGCTAGGCTGTAATTACTTATACACTGTAAAGCTATATACCAGATAGACTTGTATACAGTAAAACCTGTCTAATCTGAATGTTTGGATGATGAGGTGTTCAAATTACAGGGTTTTTATTTTATATTTATTCCTGTAAAATCAGTTTCAAATTAATTAAGCTATGCTAGAAAGACCCATTATGATTGAGACCATTCAATATTTTGATATTATAACAAATCAGTAGATAAATAATCAGTAATAATATCAGTATAAAAATTTTAAATATTTTAGCAATTTTGATGTAACATGTGATATTTTGTAAAAAAAGGTATCAGATTTAGATTATTTTTTCAATATGTTCATTGTTCTTATTCAGGTTTTTTAACATGAGAGCCAATGGGAGGAAAATGTGACCAAAACAGTGTTCAGATTTGTAGGTGTGAAGATTAGCCATGTGTTCAGATATAACGGTTTAACTGTACATATAGTAGTGCTGGACATTTCTAATTGATGGGGCAAATTAACAAAGCAGGGGCTATATATATCTACCCTAGATAACTAGCCACACAGAGCCATTCTCAAGTATATTGAACAGTCAAGCATTTGCATATTAGACATAGTATACACAGACTGACAACAGCAGACAAACAGACTGTATTACTTGTATTTGAAGAAACCAGAATTTGGAAATCAATACACTTCTGATGAAAAATACAGTAGTTATAAGCTTATCAGCAATATGGAATTCATTAGCATTTCTCCAATTAGGTTCTGCTAGTTATTAGATTGGACGGTAGCCAATGAATGAACATTCTTAGCTCAACATTATACACTATCTTGAAGGCGTCAGTTTGGCTTATTGATTCGGAATACAGGGTATTTAACATGGCGCACACAATCCTGCATTTGGTTCTACTTTTAATATATGCCAAATACAGTGAATCTGTATATTTCTATCATACTGATATTTATGAAGGACTAGAAGGACTTGAAATTAATGATGTCGAATGGAATAATGATAATGAGGACGTTACTGATGACCGTCAGCCCAGCCTCTCAGCAAGATATTTTGATGAGATTACGAATAAACAGCGATTCATGAAAGACAATGATCTAACGCTGATAGCGACATCTTATGATCCCATTTCTAAAGAGGTCCTTTTGGTTTTGGGTGAACCCTGGTTTAATAGAGAAGACCAACATGGATTTGTATGGCTGGCTAAGAGTAAACTCTGTGGAAAAGAAAATGATGATATTGAAATCCTGATTCATAAAATGCCTATGAATGGGACAATTCCAGGTGAATACAAAGCTACCGTATCTATTGGTCAACCAACTTCGAAAGATAACGCAATTCGCTACCTCAAACAATTTGCTTACTACAATTCTACCATCTATTTTGCGTCCCGAACATTTTTCTATTATGAGGACAGATCAAAGAAGATAAAGATTGAATTAAGAGTTATAGATCCAAGCTGTGATGATGGTACCATGAGCAACAATGATTATACTATATTATCCTGTTCCAAAGTGCTTGGCATGGTCAGAGAAGGAGTTCCAAGTCCCATACCTGCAAATAGGCAAGAATTCTACGATGAAAATCCTTCATTCAGTTATAACTCGGGAGAGTTTGTAATAGCCAATCAAAACCTCAAACCAGAAATTGACCCTGAAAATGGAGAGATAATGTTCTTTTTACAAATCTATGATGATCCATTGTCAAAAGAGATTCATCTCACGAAGATTAACACCAATGGACATAGAGCTCTTTTGTCAGTGGCAAACCAGACTGATGTAATTCAAGATTTTCAGGAGGTCGTTGCTTATCATAACGGTCAACTTTGTTGGTCCCAGGGCAACGAAATAAGTTGTGGGAAACTTATTGAGGGCAACACCCTGCTAATAGATGAATGGAAACTTTTTGAAATACCAGATGACATGGTTGAGATGTGCAACATCGACATGAATGGACTAACTGCGCTAAATGCGAATACTAGTGGAATCGGGAGTATTCTAGACAGGATGTTGATTTTGAATATGACTCACAAATATGCCGATATAGTGTTCAGTTGTTCAGCCCACCCCGAGTCATTTCGTGATGTTTACTATCCTGTTAATAGGTTACGCTTGGATAAACTCTCAGGGAAACGGGATATTGTTCGTCTTGAAACCAATAAATTACACAAGAATACAGCGTATAGTATATCTGTTGATTTTATGGTAGATGAAGCTGACCTGGCTACTTGTGGAAGTACATCGGGGAACATGTACACCAGCTGGGCATTGTTGTGTAGTTTACTTGTCGCTTACTATACATGAATGTAAACAAACTAACTTGAACTGAATGATAACATGTGCCAAATTTCTGCATTGATCAACATGCCTAATATCTTGTTAGCAGTGGCATAACCAGAATTTTGATAGCAGGTACACAAGGCCAAAGGCCGAGCAAAAACTAGGGAGGGGGGTCGGGATTGAAAAGCATTCATACATGTACTAACCCATCCAGTCAGGATCTGTTGATTAAGATTATGTATTTTGATTGAATTTGGGTTTGTACATCCATTCTTGCTTTCACATAAAATATATATGAGTAACATACCTTAAACCTTGTAAAAATCAGAAATAAAAAAGAATTAATAATAAATTCTATTTTTTGTAATTAAAGGGCCCCCATTAAATTACATCCAGACATTTTCAAATCAATGTCAGATTGAAATAATCTCAGTGGATACGTAATTACAATAAGTAGAGAGGTTGCGCTTGCACTGTTTTTGTAATGTCAACATAAATGTAAAAAGCTAAAAATTAAAATCTTTTGTCCCTATACACCATGACACTGATATCTCAAACCCTTGTTGTAAAATATTTGGGTAAATAGATCAATATTAACTTTTCAATGCAGCAAAATTTAGTATAATATGGAACACAATTGAATACACACTAAAACAGAAGTTCTTTACATATCGAGAGGGTTCATTCTTTTGAATACTGCTCCATGTGAAAATGTGTTCCCTCAGACAGGTTTCATTGCACCATCATTTTACTTACCTTTTATGCTTTTAACAATTACAATTAGATCTCTTTTGTGTTGCTACTAGGTTGATGTGGCAAATTCTTTTTCAATTCTACGGGTTTGTTTCTTCTGGTTATCAGGGTTACCTAGAAAACATTAAAACTTTTAATAAATGTGTTGCCATTGACAGATTGACACAAATTGAGTTTCAAACTTCATACTAACTTATTGAATGATTTGAAGAGCAATACAGGATATATTCTACTTAAGAAATTCTGTATTCGTTCAATACTTTCAAACTTCAAGCACATATAATGGCCACTTGTGTATTAATCAAGTTTTAGCAGGCCCGTAGCCAGGATTTGCCGGGGGGTTCACTTTTTGAAATATTCCAGGGGGGTTCATTTTTGACAATTTTGGACTCCATGATCATTATCCCCAACATTACTCATTACAGTGAACCTCCATAAAGGTTCATCTAGGTAGTTTTTACCTAAGCAAATCTAACTATAGATTCTATTCTCAAAAAACGAACAAGAAAAGATGAACCTGGCACATATAATCACGATCAAAATGAAAAGTACACTTTAATTGCTAAATACATGTTTAATTGTCTGTAATACAAGGACTATCATGCAGCTCATGATAGATAATTTATGATTAGATTTGTGTATAAATTGATCATTGCCTATATGGATCAACGGATAAGATCCTAAAAATAAAAACTAAGTAAATTCAAATATACAACTTTAAATAAGTCAAGTTTTAACCCATAAACCCATGAAACTCAACCATCATTAAGTTTACATTATTGTTTGAATGAAATACATGTATGGACCATGTACGATTATAAATCATTCATGAATTTTTAGCAGAATGGCAAAGATGATCTGAGTACCATGCATTTACCTAGACCTGGGATAATAGACCAAATAGATCAAATATCACTCTAATCACGCATTATGTTTGATATTTTTGGAAATCATTTTTTATGAAATGCCCGTACGGTAAAAATCCAAACGGCGAAAAGAAGTGAACGCATTCCGTTCAGTCTTTGCACACGTTTGGCGTTCATGCCACGCATTTGGTTTGAAATATGTGTATATATCACGCATTTGTTTTGAAAATATTTATACCTACCCCCACCCAAAAAATTTTTAGGTGTGCTATACTGACCAGTGTTCAGTAAGGTGTCCAAAATGTGAAGGTAGGTGTTCATTGTTCAACATTTGTAAGTCACTCATGTTGGATATAGTCCCAAATTGACAGCCCTGGAAGGCCCTCCATGAAGTGGGTGGTTCCATTCGTACTATTTTCATAAAAAGTGAATCAGTTTTCCAGGGCTGTCAACTTGGGACCATCTAACATGACATGAGTGACTTCCAAATGTTGAACACCTTCAAATCCGTCAATGGGGGGTGGGGGGGAAACAAATGCGTGATATATGCACATATTTTGTACTAAATGCGTGATATAAGTGGCAATCGCGTGCAAAGACCGAACGGAATGCGTTCGCTTTTCTTCGCCATTCAGTATTTTACCGTGTTGGCATTTCATGAAAAACGATTTTTAAAAATATCAACAAAATGCGCAATTTGCGTGATATTTGATCATACACGCTAAATTGATGCGTGATTTCTATTTTTCTAGCAAATGCGTGACAATCAACAATCAACAGGGCAGGTTTTCTCCATATATTGCCCCATGTATGGCCTTCATATTTTTCTTGTGATTTCACTGGATTATCTTGTTACACAGTGTACAGTCATGGGCGTAGCGCCCGGTACGCTGGGTACGCACAGGCGTACCAGATGGTTGCAAATTCGCTCCAAATACAACCAAATTTCAAAATTTTCCTGGGGGAGAACCTCCAGACCCCCCCCCCCAAATGTTCGTTTTTTGATTCAATCAACTCTTGTTCCCGCTACGCCCATGACGTTATACTGATTATAATAACCCAAGTTGGGGCTTCTCCCATAAATGTGGGGTCGAATTGGCGTTTTTTCTTATATGGAGTATTGGCACTAAAATATTATAAAAAATAAGAAAAAACGCCAATTCGACCCCACATTTATGGGGGTAGTTGGGGCAGCCTCCGTGCTGTGGATTGGGCCATTGAACAGTGAAATAATTACTCAAACTTTCTCAACTATTCAAAGGTTTCTTTAGAACTAACCTCTGTGCTCAATGATGCAAGACTAAGATGTCATGGAAACAGGCAATGGTGAGACCATGGGAGAGAAAAACATTCAGGGTTTCATTGGGTGATAATAGGTTTCAAGTATGTGATAAAAAAGATGGAGAGTATGTTTCGAGTTTCATTACGTAATTAGTCCATAAATTTACTCACCAATTTTAAGATCACTTTTCTATTTTCGTACATATAACATCATTTGTCCAAAAAAATAGACTACTGTTTTTCTTTTCTGGAGAAGACGTTCCGAACATTTTTGTAAAATAATCTGTGATTGGTCAGTAACTTTTTAATAAACCAATCAGAGCCATGCTTTCAAAACCCGGAAGCAATTTTATACTGTCATTTGCACGCCCAGAAAAGTTTTGTGAACAGTTCTATTAAGCTCTATTACATAGCAGTCCTTTACTTGATCCGGGGCCAGTAAAACAACGTGGATATTAATAATGGCAGAGTCATTGAAATGGGCATGTGAAAATGGAGACATTGATGCCGTCAAAAACCACATTGGAGAGGTAGGCCAAAAAGATTCAAATTTTATTTTACAATAAATATCAAAAATGAAAAATAAAAATGATCAACAGGACAGATTGTATATCTATTTATAATAGTGTGTACATGGTAGTGACCATAAGTAGATAAGGGGTTTAATATCTATTGGAGCATATCATGAAACCACTCTCAATATGCACTGTTTTAGGTTAGACTGAACACGCCTGTCTCAGTCGGTTAGGAAGAGTAAGTTTTAGGTTTGGTCACACTCAAGTAAAGTTGATGCAAAAATAACTGATTGATAGTGAATTCGTTGGTGTCCATTGAATGATTGTACAGTTACGCAGAAATGAATTACAGTTGGGGACAAAAATAAATGACAGGTCGATTTTCGATCACCATTTCCTAATTATGGTGGTCTGAAAGCCCATAATTTCCAATATTGTCGAGATACATATCCCTTAAAATTTGTATATTTTACATTTTGTATAATCTCATCCACTGATGTATGGCCTCTTGTAAATTTTCTTATTTTTAATATGGGAAATCCTCACTTCAGCAAATCCACCTGTCATTTATTTATGTCCCCAACTGTATGAACTGGATGTTTGGGAATTCAAAAAGGAATCAAAAGCTTCTGAAACTGATTGGCTGCCTGGGTTCACGTTACCAAACTCGTCTGGCCTAGTTATCTACTCCCTGATTCTGAAATGTCGTAGATCTAGGATCTTAGATAATTGGGCCAGATGGGTTTGGTTAGGTTCAAGTCAGGTTTCAATGCTTGTGCTGATTGTTGAATGCTCAAGTTTCGTTAAATTTTGACAGTTGTGGTTGTTCTTTTGATTTTTTTAATAGACCTATACAATAGCTCTACTATGTCCACGAGGTAAAGAAACATAATCAAAGCGAGTTGAGAATGAACGATCTTGCACATATACAATCAAATGCAGGTTTCTTTCTGGTACAACCGTGGCAATGTTAGCGAAACCTGCAGGAATCTGGCGCAACCGTGGCATGTTATATTTTTACATAAATAACATTGTCCCGGTTGTACCAGACATTGTTACACTGTTATACATTGTCACGGTTGTACCAGACATTGTGACACTGTTATACATTGTCCTGGTTGTACCAGACATTGTTATATTGTTATATATTGTCCTGCTTCTACCAGACATTGTTACACTGTTATACATTGTCCCGGTTGTACCAGACATTGTTACACTGTTATACATTGTCACGGTTGTACCAGACATTGTTACACTGTTATACATTGTCACGGTTGTACCAGACATTGTTACACTGTTATACATTGTCCCTGTTGTACCAGACATTGTTATATTGTTATATATTGTCCTGCTTCTACCAGACATTGTTACACTGTTATACATTGTCACGGTTGTACCAGACATTGTTACACTGTTATACATTGTCCGGGTTGTACCAGACATTGTTATATTGTGATATATTGTCCTGCTTCTACCAGACATTGTTACACTGTTATACATTGTCCCGGTTGTACCAGACATTGTTACACTGTTATACATTGTCACGGTTGTACCAGACATTGTTACACTGTTATACATTGTCACGGTTGTAACAGACATTGTTACACTGTTATACATTGTCCCGGTTGTACCAGACATTGTTATATTGTTATATATTGTCCTGCTTCTACCAGACATTGTTACACTGTTATACATTGTCCCGGTTGTACCAGACATTGTTACACTGTTATACATTGTCCTGGTTGTACCAGACATTGTTATATTGTTATATATTGTCCTAGTTCTACCAGACATTGTTACACTGTTATACATTGTCACGGTTGTACCAGACATTGTTACACTGTTATACATTGTCCCGGTTGTACCAGACATTGTTACACTGTTATACATTGTCCCGGTTGTACCAGACATTGTTATATTGTTATATATTGTCCTGGTTCTACCAGACATTGTTACACTGTTATACATTGTCACGGTTGTACCAGACATTGTTACACTGTTATACATTGTCCCGGTTCTACCAGACATTGTTACACTGTTATACATTGTCCCGGTTGTACCAGACATTGTTACACTGTTATACATTGTCCCGGTTGTACCAGACATTGTTACACTGTTATACATTGTCCCGGTTGTACCAGACATTGTTACACTGTTATACATTTTCCCGGTTGTACCAGACATTGTTACACTGTTATACATTGTCCCGGTTGTACCAGACATTGTTATATTGTTATATATTGTCCCGGTTCTACCAGACATTGTTACACTGTTATACATTGTCCTGGTTGTACCAGACATTGTTATATTGTTATATATTGTATCTGTTGTACCAGACATTGTTACACTGTTATACATTGTCCCGGTTGTACCAGACATTGTTACACTGTTATACATTGTCCCGGTTGTACCAGACATTGTTACACTGTTATACATTTTCCCGGTTGTACCAGACATTGTTACACTGTTATACATTGTCCCGGTTGTACCAGACATTGTTATATTGTTATATATTGTCCCGGTTCTACCAGACATTGTTACACTGTTATACATTGTCCCGGTTGTACCAGACATTGTTACACTGTTATATATTGTCCCGGTACTACCAGACATTGTTACACTGTTATACATTGTCCCGGTTGTACCAGACATTGTTACACTGTTATATATTGTCCCGGTTGTACCAGACATTGTTACACTGTTATACATTGTCCCGGTTGTACCAGACATTGTTATATTGTTATATATTGTCCTGCTTCTACCAGACATTGTTACACTGTTATACATTGTCCCGGTTGTACCAGACATTGTTACACTGTTATATATTGTCCCGGTTGTACCAGACATTGTTATATTGTTATATATTGTCCCGGTTCTACCAGACATTGTTAAATTGTTATATATTGTCCCGGTTGTACCAGACATTGTTACATTGTCATAAATTGTCGCGGTTCTACCAGACATTGTTACATTGTTATATATTGTCGCAGTTCTACCAGACATTGTTACATTGTTATATATTGTATCTGTTGTTACAAAATGTGTTACATTTTTATCGTTGTCACGGTTGTACCAGACATAGTTTGATTATTAAAAATTGTAAGTGTTGTTCCAAAATGTGTTACAGTTTTTTTTTCATTGACACGATCGTACCAGACAATGATATATTATTGAACATGGTATCTGTTGTTACAGTTTTAATCACTGTCACGGTTGTGCCAGACAATGATATATTATTGAACATCTTATCTGTTGTAACAAAATGTGTTCAGTTTTTATCCTTGTCACGTTTGTAACAGACATTGTTGCATTAGTTTACATTTTATATATTGTTAAAAAGTGTTACATTTTTAATACTGTCACGGTTGTACCAGATATTGTTACATTCTTGAACAGGGTATTTATTTTTAAAACGTGTTACATTTTTATTATTGCCACGGTTGTACCAGACATACTTGCATTATTAAATATTATATCTGTTGTTACAAAATGTGTTACAGTTTTTATCATTGACACAATTGTACCAGCAGACAATGTAAATACTGTTGCAGTTCCACCATACATTGTTACATTGTTATATATTGTATCTGTTGTTACAAAATGTGTTACATTTTTATTGTTGTCACGGTTGTACCAGACATAGTTTGATTATTAAAAATTGTAAGTGTTGTTACAAAATGTGTTACAGTTTTTATCATTGACACGATTGTACCAGACAACGATATATTATTGAACATGGTATCTGTTGTTACAAAATCTGTTACAGTTTTAATCACTGTCACTGTTGTACCAGACAATGATATATTATTGAACATCTTATCTGTTGTAACAAAATGTGTTCATTTTTTATCCTTGTCACGTTTGCGACAGACATTGTTGCATTCGTTTACATTTTATATATTGTTAAAAACGTGGTACATTTTTAATACTGTCACGGTTGTACCAGACATTGTTACATTCTTGAACAGGGTATTAATTTTTAAAACGTGCTACATTTTTATTATTGCCACGGTTGTACCAGACATACTGGCATTATTAAATATTATATCTGTTGTTACAAAATGTGTTACAGTTTTTATCATTGACACGATTGTACCAGCAGACAATGTAAATACTGTTGCGGTTCCACCATACATTGTTACATTGTTATATATTGTATCTGTTGTTACAAAATGTGTTAAATTTTTATCGTTGTCACGGTTGTACCAGACATAGTTTGATTAGTTAACACTTTTCATGCTTTTGTCAAATAAATATTTCTGATTTTGGTCTGATTTTATTTACAAAGAACTAATATAATTATGGAAAGTCAACAGATGTCTGTCATTTTTGTGTTGCACACTCCCCTCCAAATGTTTGGCAACCTTAGTTCCCTCATTGAATTACATATTTATATTTGAATTTTTATTCTTTGACCTGTGAGGAAGATACATGATTGAAATGTAACTTGACTTCATTTCCAATGCCTCCAAATTCTCCAAAATTTCCCCTCAATTACAATAAAGGTAGAAAATTGATAATTTTGATGAATTTGCGAAAATCGTCATTCCTATGTAAACCAATGGGAAATGATGTGTTCGGGGGAAATCTGATTTCAGGATATCTATCCAGTAAAGGATTCACCAAAAAATATTTTTATATCGAAAATTGAATTATCTAACTTTTTGTACGCTGATTGTTCAGCTTACTATTTGAATACTAATAAAGTTAAAGAGCTTAAAAGTCATTTTTGAAAATCATTTTCGCCTCATGTGTTATTTCAATGGGGGTAGTTTTTCGAATAATAATTTTGACTTTGAAGATCTCTAACTTTTTGAAACCTGAAGAAACGTATCAATTTTATTATTCAATAAAGTTAGCAAATTAAATGGACTACCTAACTTTTATTTTTTACAAGAACTCGGATGAATGAATATTCTGTCATATGACTTGCGGCAAACCTACAGAACCATTTCCCATTGGTTTACATGGGAATGTCGATTTTCCAAAATTCATTAGATTTATCATCAATTTTC